TTGCCCAACTCTAAGGTTCGAGAGCTTCTGCGAATCCGTGCACCCTTCAGCCTGCTGCGGGCGCAGAGGATCAGCTGGTGGCAAGAAATCATTCGGAACCCTGAGAGACATGTCTTATTCATTGCTACTCTGTTCGGCTACGCTGCTTGGGACCAGCACAACCTGTGTGACGAGATGGGCTTTTCGGCAAGGGCCCCTGGAGGGAGCTCGGTGCAGCCGTGGTGGAACCAGCTGCTACTTGATCTTTCTGCCTGTGTCGAGTTCTTACAGATGCCAGACATCCTGCCCGCGCTTGTGGAACGCCCAGTTGCGTTTTTTTGGGCGATGCTGAAGTGCGGGAGGCAGTACTAAAGGTGTCGGTTGAGAAGCTGAAGAGGGTGACGGGGGGACCTAGAGTCTATGCGGAGATCTCGGAGAGGCTGGTGGAGGAGGTGGTGGTGGGAAGGAACAGAAGAGGAGGTGGAGGAGAACAGCCTGTCGAGGGAGAGGTGGGAGGAGCTGAGCAGGAGGTACCACGGGAGGGAGACGAAGAGCCAGATCCTGCGGCACTTCAGCCAGAATTGCCCGAGCCGCCCACTCCCGCACCACGCGTGTGCGACATTGAAGGCTGCGGCCTGGGCTTCGACACGCGTCGCCAGCTACTGCTGCATCAGTCTAACTCAAAAGCAGAAGGACACGGGAAAAAAACAGCTGGCAAAAAAAAAAAAAAAAAAAAAATAAAAAAAAAAAAAAAACTTACTGTATTAAACAAATGCATCTTGTGCAACAACTTTTATACGACAAAACGATATGCGTCGGAACACTTGGATCAAGCCATTAAGAAAGGCAAATGTCCGAGGTCGAGAGGGTCCGTCACGGTGCATCAACATGTTGCCGACCCCCCTTACTGGTGTGAACTGTGTAGTGAGGAGTTCGCCCCGTACGAAGTGGCGAGAGCGCATATGCTAACACATCTACCCTGTTGACCGTGCCTCAGAAGTGCGGTGTGCGTGTGAATTCGTTGATGTCTGGCTCGGGTGTTTCGGTCGCGGTCCTGCGCTCACCAGGCTGTGAGTGCCCATCGCCCGGCCCGAGGTGCAGTGCTGTTCGGCCGATGTGGAAGGAACAGTTCGCGCATGCAGGGCCTGGTGACGCTGCAGCTGAGCCACAAGGTCGCTCTGTGAAGTACCGCCAGATTGAATGCACGGAGGACAAGCAAAATATCGACTTAGCGCTCAAGCTGGGTGTGATTGCTAACCAAAAGGCCAGGCTGCTGGCCGCAGCGTGCAGGGTAGAGATCGAGATGCTTGTGGAGGGCCCCATCATGAGGGCCATGGCCAAGGCCCATGCAGAGGAGTACTTGCCGAGGGTCAAGGGGAAGGCTGGACATGGGTTGGGGGCGCCCGACTCATTCTTGCTGACGGCTGCGATCATCACCATGCTGGAGTCTTGCGAGGAAGGGTTCAAGGCTCCGCTGAAGGAGTACTTGGACAAGTTCAAGCCAGGGTCGAAGGAGGCACAGCACATCGTGGGCCTCTTCCGCACCGAGAAGATGTACGACAGCAAGAAGAAGCGTCTCATCATCGGAATGAAGGATGAGAAGTTCGAGAAGATCCTCGTGAGCGCCATCGAGTCGGTGGAGAAGCGTGCGGCATTCTCGGGGCCGAGGCCGCCTGGACATCTAGAGCTGGAGGGCCAGAAGGTTCTGGAGGTTGGCCGCTAGCTGGTGATCGACAGGGACCACGAGTGGTCCAAGGACCTTGAGTGGATCATAGGTGCGGTGCCCGTCGTAGATGATTGCCACGAGTGGTTCAGAGACCGCGAGTGGATCATAGGTGAGACGCCCGTCGACGATGATTGCCACATGTGGTTCAAGGACCTTGAGTGGATCATAGGTGCGCCACCCTCCTCGAATGATTACCGCGCGTGGATCGGTTTCGTCGGGGAGGGTACCTCCATCGAGCGCCTCGTGACCTGAGCCTGCTGATGAAGGCACCGTGTGCTGCTGCCGCCGTCCCTCTTCTCTCCACCCCGCCTACTTTTTTGGAGCAGCGAACTTTTTCTCTGGGCCTTTTGAATTCGGGTTCTGTGTTAGTGTGCGTTCTGAATTAGAGATCCTGTCTAGGCTAAGTGTCTGTGCGAGTTGTCGGTCCCCTCCTGCTTCCTCGTCGTGTCTGGTCGTCTCTCTCGCTTTCTCGCCCTTCCCGCTCCTTCGGCCCTCGGGCTCTCCTCCCCCCTCGGGGGCGCTCCCTCGGTGCCAGCGCTCCCCTCCCTCGGGGGGTGAGCGGTGGTGCCTTGGTAGCGCGCCCGCTCGCTCGCCCTTCTTCCGCGTCGTTGCTGCTTGCTGCTGGACCGTGGGTTTAAGTCTGAGTTTGTGGTTTAAGTTTTTGGTCTCGCCTCCCTGGTGCAGGAAGGAGCCGCTTCGGCACGGGCTGTGCACTGGCTACCCCCGTGCATGCACGGGGCTGCCGCTAGTGCCCCTCGTGGGTGAGGTGCCGAGCTGCAGATATGAGGGGGGCATCAGCTCCCATACTCCCTAGTTCGATCCGCCTCGGACTCTTGAGGAGCGCCACCACCACCACCTCTTTCTCCTCCTTCTCCTCCTGCTTTATTGTTCCACTCCTCCCTGTTTCCCTCCTCATTATTCTCTCTCCGTTCCTCCAAACTTCTCCCCCCTCCTCCTCCTCCTCCTTCTCCTCCTCTTATTCCTCCTCCTCCTCTTCCTCGTCATCATCATGATCATCACCATGCTCACAACCACCATCACCCTCATCATCATCGTCATCACCATCATCAGCATCATCATCGTCACCATCATCATCATGATCACCATCACCGTCATCATTCTCGTCATCAGCATGATCAACATCATCATCACCATCACCACCACCATCAGCATCGTCAGCATCCTCCTCACCATCATCAGCAGCATCATCACCATGAGCATCAGCAGCAGCAGACGCAGCAGTATCATCATCATCATCATCATCATCATCATCGTCATCATCATCATCACCAGCATCATCATCAGCGTCATCAGCAACATCATCAACATAGCATCCATAATACACATCACCATCACCGTCACCATTAACATAATACGACATGATCATCATCGCCGTCATTGAATCAGCATTAGAATCAGCATAATCCTCCTCATTAGCATCACCATCACCATCACCATCACCATCACCATCACCATCATCATCATCATCGTCATCATCATCATCATCATCATCATCATCAGCATCATCATCATCATCATCATCATCTCCGCCACCACAACCATCACCACCGCACTCATCATCATCATCATCATCATCATCATCATCATCATAATGACCAGCATCAGCATCATCGTCATTGTCATCGTCATCGTCATCATTGGCGTCAGCATCAATATCGTCATCATCGTCGTCGTCGTTGTTGCCATCGTCGGCATCAGCATCATCACCGCCATCAGCGTCATCATCATCGTCAGCGTCATCATCATATTCAAAATCAGCATATCATCCTCAGCATGAGGATGATGATCATCATCAACATCACCAGCATCATCAACATCAGCGTCGTCATCACCATCATCGTCGTCATCGTCATCGTCATTGTCATCGTCACCGTCACCGTCACCGTCACCATCACCATCACCATCACAACCACCACCACCATCATCATCAACAACATCATCACCGTATCTTTCCGCTTTTCCTCCGTCACGGCATGTCGTGCCCGCCCTGGAGTCGCTGGAGCACCACTGCGGATGCTGCGAATATGACTGCACAGCAGCGCCACTGCCACAGGCTTCCTCCTCCTTCTCCTTCTCCTCATCCTCCTCCTCAGCCTCCTCCCCCCTGCTTTGGCGTACTTTGAACGCATGCTTTGCTAAATGGAGCACGCCATTTGTTTAAGCGCAGTCGCCCTGATGCGCAGCAGCCGCTGCGACGCGTCCGAATTTCTGAGCCAGTTCCCTCACTCGCGCCCGCATTCCCCCCTCCAGGGCGCCTCTGGGGGTTTCTAGGGGCATTCTTGGAGCACCTTGGGCCGTCGGGGGCTCATGGTGGCATCCGGGGGCCTCGTCGGGCCCGTCCTGGACGGCCCTGGGGCTGCGCGGAGGGAGCTGAAGGGCTGCTCGGCCCGGTTCTGGGACCAAGAAGGCGGATAAGCCCAGACTGCGCCTCTGATGGAGCCAGATTAACTGGGATTTGGCGGTTAAGCGAAAGTAGCCGATGCCAGATTTGGCATGCTTTGGACCACGGTTATACCAGCGCAGATGCTGGATCTCATCTCCAAACAGTTGCATTCATCGTAATTGAAAGGATAGGAGGCTCGGGTCTGCTGCGCCTGAGACACCTTCTTGGTCCGTCCTGGAGCAGGCTTACCAAGGAGACGGTCACCCTCCAGCCTGGACTTTTTAACCCAACCAGAAAGCTCGTGAGCAGAAACGTGCGTCTCCACAGCAGCTGCGTAATCAAAATGTTGGTCAAGAAGAAGCTGCCGCGCTTTGCCGCCAATGCATTGGATACTGCCGAAGGAAAACCGGGACATGCCATTGTCCATCCCATCTGGCACCGTAGAGCTCGGGTCGGTCATTCCCCGAAAAGGCTCAGGAGCTCGGCGCAGCAGATGACGATCGTCACGACACGGCCTCCTCGCCCCTGCCCCTGGGCGTTGGAGCACCCCCTGCCCTTGCCCTCTGGCCCGCGGCGCCCTCGGGGCCGGCGGCCTGCTCTTCCAGCACCTCCTGCTGCGCCTCGAGCTCGGCCTGCGAGTGCCGCACCGCGGCGCGCGCGCACCGACGCCCAGCCGGCCAGGCCGACGGCGGACGCGGCGAAGCGCCGTGCGGGCCTGCGGCGGCCAAGGCGGCGGCCGCTGGCGAGCCGCCTCCGCCCGCGCCCTGCGCCGCCCGGCGCCGCCTGCGCCGCCCGCGGGGGCGCCCTCCGCGGCCGCCTGCGCCGCCTCCTCGGCCTCCTCGGCCTCCTCCTCCTCCTCCTCCTCCTCCTCCTCCTCGCCTCCTCGGCCACCTTCCTTTTCTTCTTGATGCGGTCGGCCGCCGCAGCCTGGACCTCCTCGGCCTTGGCCACCATGGCGGAGACCTCAGCCCCCTCGCCCACAAAAAGGGGCTCTGGAGCTGCTCCAGATCGGGCCTCGCCTTTTGCAGCGCCGTGCGCTCCGATTCTGCACAGTCTAGCTCCTCGATGCCGTCGAGGAGCTCGCGATCCCAGCTGACGGAGAACTTGGGCTTGTCGCTGGACTCGCGATTCACGCCGGTGCCTTCGGCGATCGCCATGGCCTCCGCTGCCGCCCCCGTGGTCCTCTCGGCTTGGGCGAGCGTGAGCGCGGCGGTCCTCTCCCGCACTCGAGCGTGCTCCAAGCTCGCCTCTGAATGGACGACGTGCGCCGCAGCCTGGGAACGTTTATAATCTGCATCTCTGAACTGAGCAGGGACCGACCGTCCCGGCATTCCTATAGTCCTACCACGAAGAAGTGTTCGTAGAACCCACACATGTTCTAAGAACAAAAACAACGTTCTTAGAACATAAACCCGATGTGATAAAACAAGACAGACTCCGCCAGAAATGTTCTAAGAACATTTCGTGGAAACCACAAAAGGTTCTAAGAACATTGTTTGGTAGGGCTATAGGCGAGCCAGGACGCTTCGCCACTGCTTGATTGAAGGCGCCCACAGCCCGCTTGAGCACCTCTGCGGGCACTCAACGGTCGCGGACACGGGATTGATCCCCGACGCGCCTGTGGCGAGCCGCGGGGTTCTCCATCGCACGGCCTACTCAGCACGTCCTCAAGATTCGTCGGGTGACGGGCGTGCTGGTGGCGAGGCAGGCTCCTGGCACACGTGATGCTGATCAACCTACGGCAATTGCCACAATTCGCGGCGTAATGTATGCATAGACCAGCATGTCTGTGCGACGTGAGTTCTTCGGCAGTACGCTGCGTCGGCTTTTATGTCGGCGCTAGTTCACTGATCTTCATCGTGCTTGTTGTTGGAGGTACACCTGCTGTCAGGATGGATGTTGCACAGTGGAGGTCGCCATCTTGACCTCGCACTCTTGTTCCCAACCATCCTGTGGTGTTGGGTCCTCGTTTTGAAGAGACGTCGCCCCGCGTTCCTTCCTCCTTCCTCCTCCTCCCCTTCCTCCCCCCTCCCATCATCATCATCATCATCATCATCATCATCATCATCATCATCATCATCATCATCATCATCATCATCATCATCATCATCATCATCATCATCATCATCATCATCATCATCATCATCATCATCATCATCATCATCATCATCATCGTCATCACCATGATCATCATCGACATCATCGACGTCATCATCACCACCGTCATCATCGTCATCGTCATCACCCAATTCGGCACACCCCTCATACGTTTCGTGGCCCCATAGGGCGCTCCACCGAAGGCCCCTGTGGCTGCGTTCGCATGCGCCCACCGCACCCATTTCGGCGCACCCCTCACACGATTCGTGGCCCCACAAGGAGCTCCACCGAAGGCCCCAGTGGCTGCGTTCACATGCGCCCACCGCACCGATTTCGGCATACCCCTCACACGTTTCGTGGCCCCATAGGGAGCGTCACCGAAGGCCCCCGTGGCTGCGTTCGCATGCGCCCACCGCACCCAGTTCGGCACACCCCTCACACGTTTCGTGGCCCCACAGGGAGCTCCACCGAAGGCCCCAGTGGCTGCGTTCACATGCGCCCACCGCACCCATTTCGGCACACCCCTCACACGTTTCGTGGCCCCATAGGGAGCCTCACCCAAGGCCCCCGTGGCTGCGTTCGCATGCGCCCACCGCACCCAGTTCGGCACACCCCTCACACGTTTCGTGGCCCCATAGGGAGCTCCACCGAAGGCCCCAGTGGCTGCGTTCGCATGCGCCCACCGCACCCATTTCGGCGCACGCCTCACACGTTTCGTGGCCCCACAGGGAGCTCCACCGCAGGCCCCAGTGGCTGCGTTCACATGCGCCCACCGCACCATTTCGGCACACCCCTCACACGTTTCGTGGCCCCACAGGGAGCTCCACCGAAGGCCCCAGTGGCTGCGTTCACATGCGCCCACCGCACCCATTTCGGCACACCCCTCACACGTTTCGTGGCCCCATAGGGAGCCTCACCCAAGGCCCCCGTGGCTGCGTTCGCATGCGGCACACCCCTCACACCGCGAACCCAGTGGCTGCGTTCGGCACACCCCTCACACGTTTCGTTCCGCCGAACGCCCCAGTGGCTGCGCTCGCATGCGGTTCCGCCCCCCATTTCGGCACACCCCTCACACGTTTCGTGGCTCCATAGGGAGCTCCACCGAAGGCCCCAGTGGCTGCGCTCGCATGCGGTTCCACCCCTCATTCTGGCACACCCCTCACACGCTTCGTGGCCCCATAGGGAGCTCCACCGAAGGCCCCAGTGGCTGCGCTCGCATGCGGTTCCACCCCTCATTCTGGCACACCCCTCACACGTTTCGTGGCCCCATAGGGAGCTCCACCGAAGGCCCCAGTGGCTGCGCTCGCATGCGGTTCCACCCCCAATTTCGGCACACCCCTCACACGCTTCGTGGCCCCATAGGCGGCGCCGCCCCATTTCGGCACACCCCTCACACGTTTCGTGGCCCCATAGGGAGCTCCACCTAAGGTCCCCGTGGCGCAGTGCGCATGGCGCCGCCGCCCCATTTTGGCACACCCCTCACACGTTCCGTGGCCCCACAGGGAGCTCCATCTCAGGTCCAAGTGGCGCAACTCGCACGGCGCCGCCGCCCCATTTTGGCACACCCCTCACACGTTTCGTGGTCCCATAGGGAGGGAGGAGGCGGAGGAGGAGGAGGAGGAGGAGGAGGAGGAGGAGGAGGAGGAGGAGAAGGAACCCCCACGATATCCACAATTGCGGTATTCACAACTACGTATGGTTGGGTCTTTCGTCAGGCTAATTTTCACCTCATTTCGTTAGTCTGCGGCGGGATGCTCCCCTGTACTGGGACAATGCACCGTCCCTGGGATATTGCGCGGCCCGCTACCCGATTTGAGGCTTTTTGAATATCCGAGACATGGTCTTGTTGGGACGACTCTTGCTTCTGAATTCTACCCTTTTTACGGTTGTGGTTTAGTACCAGGTATCTGGGACAGCAGAGTGGACATGGGATTGATCCTCTGGACTTGCGCCCCGAGCAACTGCTTCAAGGTGGGGTCCTGGGTGCCCTTCATGGCCATGCGGAGCACGGAGACATCCATAGACGAGGTGGCCTTCTGCTGCTGGCATTTGCTCGGAGGAGGAGGAGCCAGGAGGAGCGAGGAGGAGCGAGGAGGAATAGGAGGAGGAGGAGGAGCAGGAGGAGCAGGAGGACAAGGAGCAGGATGAGGAGGAGGAGGAAAAGCAGGAGGAGGAGGAGGAGGAGGAGAAGGAGGAGGAGTGGAGTGGAGGAACCCAAAAGCGCACCGTGTCAGGGGACCTTGGGCAAACCGTGAGAGCAGGAGTCGGCTCGAGCACTTATGGCTCAAGAACCGCCCCATCGCCTCTCTCACGGCTGGAGTCCGCGCGGGCTCGTCCAGACTCTGTGGCTGGAGGTGGCGAGGCTTGCCGCGGAGACACGCAAAACGAGAGCTGCAGGAGGAAGAGGAGGAGGAGGAGGAGGAGGAGGAGGAGGAGGAAAAGGAGGAGGAGGAGGAGGAGGAGGAGGAGGAAAAGGAGGAGGAGGAGGAGGAGGAAAAAGGAGGAGGAGGAGGAGGAGGAGGAGGAGGAGGAGGAGGAGGATGCGCTCTGCGACCGCGCCGCCGCGGCAGCCGGCCGAGGCCCGCGCCCAGCGCCCCTCCTCGCGCAGCTCGGTGGCGCCCGAGGTGAACACCAGCGCGCCCGCCTTGAGGCCCGAGATCACGGGGGACGACGCGTCGGGCTCCCTGCGGGCCGCCGCAGGGCGCCGGGGCGCCCACTGGGGGGAGAAGCACAAGGGGGGGGGGGGACTACGAGGGGGAGGAGGGGGAACTACGAAAGGGAGGGGGGACTACGAAAGGGAGGGGGAACTACGAAAGGGGGCACAAAGGCGGGGGGGGGGGGAACTGCGAAGGGGAGGGGAGTAGAAGGGGGGAGGAGGAGCAGAAGGGGAGAGGTACGGGCGGGGGGAGGGAGAGAAGGGGGGGGCAGACACAGAAAAGGGGAGGAAGATATAGAAAGGGGGGGAGAGAAAAGTCCAAGGGGGGGGGGCGGATAATTGGAAGGGGGAAGAGTAGAAGGGGGAAGCGATAGAAGGCGCCGGTGCGCCCAGTGGGGTTCGTGCGTCGTCGCTTCTCTGCAGAATGCTCCAGCCTCGGCACGCGCTCGAGCGGCAGCTTTGCTCCGCGTCGAGCACGGCACGCTCCCGGCGTGTGCCCGGAGGGCGTCCCGAGAAGACTGGCCGCGCGGGACGCCCGGGCGATGCTGCCCGAGAAAAAAAAACAACCCAGGGACCGAGGCGGGCTCGGGGGGGACACCTCGAGCCGGAGTGGACGAGACACCCCAGACAGGATCGCGTCGTGGGACACAAAAGTCAGGGCGGGAGGTGTTTGGCCACCTTCGGCCCCCCGGGGGGGCCCTCGCCGGGCCCATAAAACAAGGCTAGGATCGGGATAAATCGCTCCAGAGCGTTCCAGAGCGCTCTCAGAGCGTTCCGGAACGCTCTGGAGCGGCCGCGGCGCCCAATACATCCTCCAAACCCGCCGATACTCAGAGACTTCGAGTTATCCCGATCCGATTTTGTCCCGATCTTCGCGTCGTTTTAGCCTCGGGGCCGTCAATAAACGACTCAGGACGAAAAACGGGTCCTGGGGAACGGGTCGGGACCGTCCATGGACGCCGCCCCGACAAGATCGGGGCTTCGCCTGTCTGGGACCGCGCGGCTGGATCGGCGGCAGGCCCTCGAGAGCGACGCGGCACGGTCCTGGGCGGGGTTTGGGCTTTCGGGCGCCCTGTCGGCGATGAGTGGGCGACTGTGGGTGGGCGCACTCCCCCCCCCTGAGCAGGTCCCTCCCGGCGTTGGCCCTCACTGCGGGCCGCCCCCGGCGCTGGCTCGCAGCCAGGGGAAGGGTTGGAGATGCTCGTTCTGGGGGCCTGAGCTCTGGGGACCTTCTGGCAGCCACCCGCGCTACACTCGCGCGTCGATGCGGAACACCAGCCGGTGTGAGTCGAATGCGGGTCAAACTTGGGTGCGAGCCACAGGCGACTTAGAGACGAACGGATTCGGCAATATCGGTCAGAGTCGAATCCAGAAATCCGAACGACTCGAGATGTGCGTCGGACCAGGCCGCGACGGCACGGAGTCGAGATCGAGTCGCATCGGCTGCGCCAGGATGCCCACC